GGGTGTTGTGTGTATAGAAGGGGTGTGTGTAATAGAAGCGTGGTGGGTGTAAATAGAAGGTGTGTGGGTGTTAATTGAAGGTGGTGGGTTTGTATAGAAGGTGGCGGGTGTAAATAGAAGGTGGGAGGTTGTAATGAAGGTGGGTGGGTTTGTATAGAGGTGAGTGTGTGTAATAGATGGTGAGTGGGTGTAATAGAAGGTGGTGGGTGTAATAGAAGAGTGGTGGGTGTAATAGCAGGTGGCGGGTGTAATAGAAACGGTGGAGGGAGTTATAGAAGGTGTGGGTGTAATAGAAGGTGGTGGGTGTAATAGATGCGTGGTGGGTGTATAATAGAACGGTTGGCGGTGTAAGAAGCGTGTGGGTGGAGTGTAATAGATGGTGGTTGGGTGTATGTATAGAGGTGGCAGGGCTGTATAGAAGGTGGTGGGTGTAATAGAAGGTTGGAGGTGTATAGAAGTTGGTGGGTTGTAATAGAAGGGGGTGGTGTTAATAGGAAGGTGGTGGGTGGCATAATAGAAGGTGGTGGGTGTAATAGAAGGTGGTGGGTGTAATAGAAGGTGGTGGGATGTAATAGAAGGTGGTGGGTTGTAATAGAAGGGTTGGTGGGTTTAATAGAAGGTGGTGGGATGTAATAGAAGGTGGTTGGGGATGTTAATAGAAGGTGGCGGGTTGTAATAGAAGGTAGGTGGGTGTAATAGGCAGGTGGTGGGTTGTAATAGAAGGTGGAGGGTGTAATAGAAGGTGGTGGGTGTAATAGAAGGTGGTGGGTTTAATAGAAGGTGGTGGGTGTAATAGAAGGTGGTGGGTTTAATAGAAGGTGGTGGGTGTAATAGAAGGTGGTGGGTTTAATAGAAGGTTGGGGGTCGGTGTCATGTAATAGAAGGTGGTGGAGTTTAATAGAAGTGGTGGGTGTAATAGAAGGTGAGTGGGTTTCATAGAAGGTGGTGGGGTAATAGAAGGTGGAGGTGTAATAGAAGGTGGTGGGTGTAATAGAAGGTGGTGGGTTTAATAGAAGGTGGTGGGTGTAATAGAAGGTGGTGGGTGTAATAGAAGGTGGTGGGTGTAATAGAAGGTGGTGGGTGTATAGAAGGGTGGGTGTAATAGAGGTGTGGGTTTTAAGAGAGGTGGTGGGTGTAATAGAAGGTGGTGGGTTGTAATAGAAGTTGGTGGGTAGTTAATAGAAGGTGGTGGGTTTAATAGAAGGTGGCGGGTGTAATAGGAAGGGGGTGGGTTGTAATAAGAAGGTGGTGGGTTTAATAGAAGGTTGGTGGGGTAATAGAGGTCGGTGGGTTTATTGATGGGCTGGTGGGTTGTAATAGAAGGTGGTGGGTGTAATAGAAGGTGGATGGGTGTAATAGAAGGTGGTGGGGTTTAATAGAAGGTGGTGCGGTGTATTTCGAAGGGTTTGGGGTTAATTAGAAGGTGAGTGGGTTTGAATAGAGGTGGTGGGTGTAATAGAAGTGGTGGGTTTACAATGAAGGTGGTGGGTTTAATAGAAGGTGGTGGGTGTTTGTAATAGAAGGTGGTGGGTTTAATAGAGGTGGTGGGTTTAATAGAAGGTGGTGGGTGGTAATAGAAGGTGGTGGGGTTTTAATAGAAGGTGGTGGGTTTGTAATAGAAGGTTGGTGGGTTATGTGTTTAATAGAAGGTGGTTGGGGTTGTAATAGAAGGTGGTGGGTGTATAGAAGGTGGGGGGTGTTTATAGAGGTGGTGGGTGTAATAGAAGGTGGTGGGTTTGTCACAGGCAAGGTGGTGGGTGTATGTAATAGTAGGTGGTGGGTTTGTAATAGAATGTGGTGGGGAGCGTAATAGACGGTGGTGGAGTGTAATAGAAGGTGGCGGGGGTGTAATAGAAGGTGGCGGGTGTAATAGAAGGTGCGTGGGTGTTTGTAATGAAGAAGGTGGTGGGTGTAATAGAAGGTTTGTGGGTGTGTATATAGTGAAGGTGGGGGGTTGTAATAGAAGGTGGTGGGTGTAATAGAAGTGGTGGGTTGTATTAGAAGGGGTGGTTTTGTTTTAATAGAAGGTGGTGGTGTAATAGAAGGGGGTGGGTTTAATTAGAAGGTGGTGCGGTTTAATAGAAGGTGGTGGAGTGTAATAGAAGGTGGTGGGTTTTAATAGAAGGTGGTTGGGTTTGTAATAGAAGGAGGTGGGTGTTGTTGTGTAATAGAAGGTGGTGGGTTTGCTGTAATAGAAGGGTGGAGGGTGTAATAGAAGGTGGGTGGGTGTAATTAGAAGGTTGGTGGTGTAATAGAAGGTGGGGGTGTAATAGAAGGTGGTTGGGTGTAATAGAAGGTGTAGGGTGTAATAGAAGGTGGTGGGTGTAATAGAAGGATTGTGGGTTTGTAATAGAAGGTGGTGGGTTGTGTATGTAATAGAAGGTGGTGGGTGTAATAGAAGGTGGTCGGGTGTTTGTAACTAGAAGGTGGCGGGTTGTAATAGAAGGTTGGCGGGTGTAATAGAAGGAGGGTGGGTGTAATAGAAGGTGGTGGGTTGTAATAGAAGGTGGTGGGTGTATAGAAGGCCTGGCGGGTGTAATAGATGTGGGTGGGGTGTAATAGAAGTTGGTGGGTGTAATAGAAGTGGCGGGAGTATAGAAGGTGGTGGGTGTATAGAGAAGGTGGAGGGTGTAATAGAAGGGTGGTGGGTGTAATAGAAGGTGGGTGGGTGTAATAGAAGGTGGTGGGTGTTGTTGTAATAAGAAGGTGGTGGGTGTTGTAATATGAGGTGGTGGGCTGTAATAGAAGGTGGCGGGTCGTGTAATAGAAGGTGGTGGGTGTAATAGAAGGTGGTGGGTTGTAATAGAAGGTGGTGGGTGTTTGTAATAGAAGGTGGTGGGTGTAATAGAAGGTGGAGGGTGTAATAGAAGGTGGTGGGTGTAATAGACGGTGGTGGTGTAATTAGAAGGTGGTGGGTGTAATAGACAGGTGGTGGGTGTAATAGAAGGTGGTGGGTTGTAATAGAAGGTGGTGGGTTTGTAATAGAAGGTGGTGGGTGTAATAGAAGGTGGTGGGTGTAATAGAAGGTTGGTGGGTTTAAAAGAAGGTGGGGGTGTAATAGAAGGTGGTGGTGTAATAGAAGGTGGCGGGTGTAATAGAAAGGTGTGGGGGTGTAATAGAAAGGTGGTGGGCTGTAATAGGGAGGTGGCGGGTTGTACTAGAATGTAGTGGGTTGTACTAGAAGGTGGAGGGTGTAATAGAGGGTGGGAGGGTGTAATAGAAGGTGTGGGTGTAATAGGAAGGTGGTGGGTGTAATAGAAAGCGTGGTGGGTGTAATAGAAGGTGGTGGGGTGTAATAGAAGGTAGGTGGGTGTAATAGAAGGTGGTGGGTGTAATAGAAGGTGGGTGGGTTGTAATAGAAGGTGGTGGGGTTGTAATTAGACGTGAGTGGAGTGTTATAGAAGGTGGTTGGGTGTAATAGAGGTGGGAGGGTGTAATAGAAGGTGGTGGGTGTATTAGAAGGTGGTGGGTTTTGTAATAGAAGTTGGCGGTGGTAATAGAGGTGGGGGTTGTTACTAGAAGGTGGCGGGTTGTAATAGAAGGTGGGGGTTGGTATTAGAAGGTGGTGGGTGTAATAGAAAGGTGGTGGGTGTAAATAGAAGGTGGTGGGTGTAATAGAAGGTTGAGTGGGTGTAATAGAAGTTGCGTGGAGTGTGTAATAGAAGGGGAGGGGTGTAATAGAAGGTGGTGGGTGTAATTAGAAGGTGGCGGGCTTGTAATAGAAGGTGGCGGGTGTAATAGAAGGTGAAGTGGGTGTAATAGAGGTGGTGGGTGTAATAGAAGGTGGTGGGTGTAATAGAAGGTGGTGGTTGTTGTAATTAGAAGGATGGAGGGTGTACTACCAAGGGTGGTTGGTATGTAATAGAAGGTGGCGCGTTGTAATAGAAGGTGGCGGGGGTGTAATAGGAAGGTGGCGGGTGGAACGAAGGTGGCGGGTGTTAATAGAAGGTGGCGGGTGTAATAGAAGGTGGTGGTGTTGGTAATAGAAGGTGGTGGTGTGTAATAGGGTAGTGGTGGGTGTAATAGAAGGTGGGGGAGTATTGAAGGTGGCGAGGGTTGTAATAGAAGGTGGAGGGCGATAGAAGGTGGCGGGTGTATTAGAAGGTGTGGAGGGTTGGTAATAGAAGGTGGTCGGGTGTATAAAGAGGTGGAGGGTGTAATAGGAGGTGGTGGGTGTAATAGAAGGTGGTGGGTGTAATGAAGGTGGTGGGTTTGTACTAGAAGGTGGTGGGTTGTAATAGAAAGGGGTGGGTGTAATAGAAGGATGGCGGGTGCTAATAGGAAGGTGGGTGGGTGTAATAGAATGGTGGTGGGTTTTGTAATAGAAGTGGTGGGTTTGTAATAGGAAGGTGGTGGGTGTTAATAGAAGGTGGCGGAGTGTAATAGAGGTGGAGGGTGTAATAGAAGGGTGGGGTATAGAAGGTGGCGGGTGTAATAGAAGGTGGCGGGTGTAATAGAAGGTGGTGGGTGTAATAGAAGGTGGTGGGTGTAATAGAAGGTGGCGGGTGTAATAGAGCGAAAACTACAATCACTTTATATCTAATTAATATTACAAATAATGACAGAAATATTCCACTTTTAACTATTATTTCCCCTGTTCATACACTAGTTACAAGTGAAATTCTAGAAATCTAATACTAATAGAGGACTGGTTTAAATTTTAACAGTGTTGAAGAATTGAGATATATATGAAGGACTTCAAATATGGATGATTGGGATGATGCAAGTGGTCATGGAAATAGTTGTGTCTAAATGAAATGTTTTAAACGCTGACCTGTTGCTCATATGCAGTTTTTAATACCCAGTTTCCCAGATTTAAATTGTCTTAAATTTTTTTGATATCTTTTCTTATATCAGTGACCTTGACCACTTATGTAAACTTACACACTGATACATAATTACCTTGCAGTAATTAACTGATAAAGCTGCTTGACATGTGGGAGTACAGAGCTTAATTTATAACTCTAACTTGCATGCTCTCATGAGTAATATGTGTGAAGGACACTGAGAATGGCTGCCGTGAGGCTGGTGGACACTGCGTGCTCGCCAAAAACTGTAATGTCACGTCTTCGCAACATAACTGTGGGAAACAAAATCAAGTCTGCTGCCTCATTCGAACAAAGGGTAAGGATTAAATATTCTGTTAGTGTTTATGCTTGAAAATACCTGAAGACTTTTACATATTATTCACAATAAATTATATCTGATATCCAGTTATGATGTAACAGAGTGTTTGCAGTGCTGTCATGGCTACTGGGTCAAGTTAAGACAGACATTGATGAAGTTAATGCAGATTTTCAGTTCATAAATTAACACAAATAAGCAATAAAATCTGAGGTAGCGTTTGTCTGTCCCTGTTTAAATGGATGCACTTTGGTCTGCAGAAAGTTCTCATCTTCTTTCAGGCCATAAATATCATTAATTGTCTAGTAGTAATTGAATTTTATTTTATATGAGAAAGAGAATTATTATTATTATTATTATTATTATTATTATTATTTATTATTATTATTATTATTATTATCATTATTATTATCAAGTTAAGTGATAAACTAAAAAGAGTCATATAGCACTACAGTGAGGGATATCCAAAAGCAGTAATATATGAAGAGTAGCGAGTGAGGGGGAAGGTGTTAGAGAAAAATAAAATTTGAAGTCCAGTTAGGCTGTAAAAAGTAAAATATATTAAGAAAACTAAAAAAGAGCTGGCACGATAGCTTAGTCGACTGTCTTCATTAATGCTAGTCATAGCAGCTTTGTGAATATATGAGAGCCATGAAATGACGAGATATTACAGTGCCTGATTAACTTTCTAGAAATTTCACCAACGACCGAACACAGCTCTGGGAACTTGCTAAGTGTTCCTCTAGAGTCTGAGACAATAGCAAAGTCATCGATCATCTCATAGTAACAGTACAGCTCTGAAAGACAATATATGTTATTTTTCTTTACCGTCAGAAAGTGGTTAAGAACTTTCTAATTTTTATATATTAATTTTTTTGTGCGTACCCTCAATGTTAAATGAAATATATATTCGATATATTTAAATTTCATTTGTAAAAGAATACTGTTTTGAGATATTTTTTAAGTAAATATCAGTTTAACGAATTTATGTCCATATTTTCAATAAACATTCAAAGTGATCAGAAAAGGTCAAGTGATTTTTAACTGTTTATTATAAAAATGCTAAGGCAAAGAAATTAAGATATATAAATAAAGAGAAGATCCGTAATATTTAAGCTGATGAATTCTAATATGAACTTTGTATCCATCATGGTAATGGTATCTCCATACATCTTGTTGCATATCCATACATCTTGTTGCATATCCATACATCTTGTTGCATATCCATACATCTTGTTGCATATCCATACATCTTGTTGCATATCCATACATCTTGTTGCATATCCATACATCTTGTTGCATATCCATACATCTTGTTGCTATATTACATTTATCATCTTGTTGCTATCCATACATCTTGTTGCATATCCATACATCTTGTTGCATATCCATACATCTTGTTGCATATCCATACATCTTGTTGCGTATCCATATTTTTTATAGCATAATCATATTGTAAATATGTTGATCCAAACTGTGTTTTCATTGGTAATAACCTGTGCACATAAGATCGATTCTTACACTGTTGAGACCATAATATTGGCAATCAGCATCACTTGTGGAAGGAATCGCAAAGGCAACATTTTTTGTTCTTTTTTTGTATTAGTCCATAATCTTGTTGTATGCCCTAATCTTTTTTTCTACATTTTTGAAGTACAATGTTGTACATCCACATTGATCTATATGATCGACTGCTGTATATCTTAATTCTCTTTCACTAATTTATTTTCATCTTTGTTGCGTACTTTGGGGTGAAATGAACGGTTTCTATCCACGACTTAATATCCTGTTGTAAAATTATCCCGTGATATATTATTTCTGTTATTACTGCTTGTTTTTCAAACTTGCATTCCATTCGCAGTTTTTCCTATATTCTGTCTACATTTTGTCCCAGTTTATTCACAATGTCTCCTCAAGGAATCAATAAATTAATGAGAGCATCCTCTTGGAGATCCTTGTTCATGTCCCTTGTGAATTCATTCCAACAGTCTTGTTCCGGGAGCTCTGATTGTTTATTCTCTAGGATTTTGTTTCCATGGCCTCGTAATTTATTCTCTATGGATATCATCCTTGCGCAGGGGGGCCCTGTGATCATTCCTCAGCAGATTTTTGTTCCCATTAGGGCTTCGTGAGTTTATTTCTATAGTGTCTCTTGTTTTCAGGACCTCCGTGATTAATGGACTCTTGCCTAACTTTAACTTAATTAGCAATCCTCTCTTTGTTTTCTCAAAAACCTTTGCTTTCTTTTTGATATATATTGATTACACCTCCATTACTTTTTGGATTTCCCATATATTTCTTATGATGAATATTTATTTTTTCCTATTTCATTTTCTCTTCTTTCTATGTGTAATCCGTTCTCTTTCCCCTGCATACTCCAGTTGGCCTAGACATGACCGCGTATTAAAGGTGGTGAATGCTCATGTTCTTCCTGAACAGCTATCCTCAATTTTTTATCAGTCTGCGTTTTCTTATGTAAGTGTACTCATATATATAATGGTTTTAGGGTCGATTCACAGTCTTCATCCCACAGCTTCTTTGTTGGGTTGTGTGTTGTGGTTTGTGCAGGCACAATTACAATTTTCTAAAATTCTCTTAGCAAGGGGTCCCTCTGAATTCATTTCCAGCAGATTTTTGTTCCCCAAAAGGGCTTGAGTTTATTCTAGAGTTTTCTTTTTTTCCCGGGGGCCCCGTACGGGGACTTTTTGAATTCTCCTTTTCCAAATCCCTCCTGTTTTCTCCCTTTTTTCCCTTTTGCTGATTAATTTTACATTTTTTTTGTTTCCTCTTATTTCTTTTTTAAAAATTTGTTTTTTTCCTTTTCCCCTTTTTCTCTTTTTTTTCTAACCTTTTTTTTTCCCTGTATAAATTTCCTCTGACCCTTTTTAAAATGTGAATGTTTGTTTTTTTCCAAAACTCCCTCTTTTCATCTCCTTTTCTTTGTTTATCCAAGTGGTTAGGGGCGATTAAAGTTTTGGGCCCCTTTTTTGTTTTTTTTTTTGTGCACCCAAAATTCAACCCCTTCTGTGAAAAATTTTTTTTCTAATAAAAAAAGGGGCAAAAACAGTCGGCCCCGCGTGTTTAAAGGTTCAGGAAAAAAAACAAAAAAATAAATGAAGAAAAAAAACCCCAAAATTCCAAAGTAAAAAACAAGGGGGCAAAAACACAAAGGAAAAACGGAAGGGCGAGGGTAAAAGGCTTATGGGAGAAAAGGCAGACATAATGAAAAAATTTAAAAAAACGCGGGATCAAACAAAAAATTTTGGAGAAAAAAAGTTAAGGGGGGAAAACAAAGAAATAGGTTGGGAGGAGCGGGGGAAGGGTCTAGGGAGAAGTCCAAGTGCCAGAGGGGAAAGGAGGAATGTTTCCAAAGGAAAAATATTTTTGGGGGAAATTGGTACAAAAAACAGGGGCAGGGGTAAAGAAGGAGAAAAAGGTGGCAGTGGATGGGGAATTTGCAATCAAATTTAAATGCAAGAGAAAAAGGCCAAGGTTCTCCAAGGGAGAAAAATTTGGGGTATTGATTTAAAATAAAAAATTAAAAAAAAAAAAAATTTTAAAATAAAATTAAAATTTTGCAATAATTTTTAATTCCAATAAAATTTTAAAAAATTTTTTTATTTTAATAAAAATTATAATTTTAAAAATTTTTAAAATTTTTATTTTTAAAATAATTTTTAAATTAAATTTTTTATTAAAATTTTTAATTTTTAATTTAATAAATTTTTAATTTTATTATATTATTATTATTTATTATTATTATTATTTTTAATTCCAAGAATAATTAAATTTTATTTCTGCGGCCCCATGGTCCCCAAAAGCCCCTAGGTAATGAGGGTAATGGGGTTTAAATCAAAAAAAAGGTAGAAAGCTCCAATTCCTCTGATAAAAGTCTCCACGGCATCACCGGATTTTTTACTTTTTTCAAAAGGGAAAAACAATCTCGGCTTAAATTATTTGGTTGAATTGAAAACCCCCAAAAAAGCCCAGTAAAAATAATATAAATCCATCCGGCAACCCCCCCCCCAAAAATTTTTCATAGTTTAAAATTACCCCTTTTCGACATCCACATTTATTGGCAATCTTTTTCTACGGCCCTTTAAAATTTCCCAAATTTTAATTCCAAAAAACGCTTTTTGATATTTGTGAAGGATCCCTGCATAACACCAACACAAACTCTCATGCTTTCCCCGTGTCGACAAACCTTTTTACAAATTTTCAAGTTTTAAAGGGCCTAAAATCTGGAACCCCCCTACCTGAAAATTTTAGAACTGCGACACCTTTTACATTTCAAAAAATACAGTTTGAAACATCTTTTCTCCTGACACCCCCACAATAACTACATAAAAACCCCCTGGTGGTTCAAAAAATTTAACTCATCACCCCCTGACTTAAACCCCGAAAAACTAATCTTAATCTTAAAATAATAAAACCAACTAGTCATAATTTCCCAGGGTACTCCCTTTTGACACTTTGTATTGTGCCAAAAAAAAGGGTTACATTGTAAACTCACAATTTTTTGTATCACTTAGCTTTTTTTACCATAATTTAAGGGTTTAATTTAAGATTAATCTAAATCTGCGGGAAATGCCTAGCCATCTAGGTGTCCTAGTGGCCCCCCTTTTTAATTGAATTTTTTAAAAAGTAAACCAACAATCCCAAAACCCGTAAACCCCCCAAATTTTAAACATTATAGAAAATTAAACTTGAATTTAATTGAAAAGAAAATTGCATGGACATCGTTGCCATGGTCATCAGTAGAGTTAAATGACTCGTAGGTTTTAAATGTCATCGTAGGTTAATGTCACTCGTGAGTTTTAAATGTCACTAGTAGGTTTAATGTATCAGTAAGGGGTTAAATGCACTCATAATTTAAATGTCACCCGTAGGGGTTTTGTGTACTCAGTAAGTTAAGTGCATCAAAGGTTAAGTGTCCTCAATAGGTTAAGGCACTCAGTAAGTTTTAAATTTCACTCAGTAGGGTTAAGTGTCACTCGTAA